CCCCAAAACCCCAAAACCCCAAAACCCCAAAACCCCTTATGTAATATATAACATAGAAAGAATATACTAAAAACAATAAACATGGCATCTAATAGACAGCGACGGCTTATAACGAAACTCTATATAGCCTCAGCATTATTGATTCTAGCAGGAATAGGTGTCCTGATCGGAGGAATTTTAGGAGGCCTATCACTAGGGAACAAGCTTGAAAGACTAGGAAGAGAACTGGCTGTTTTAGAGCATGATAATATCGATGACTGGGGTGACATACCAGGCAGAAGGGAAAGAGAACTTAATCATCAGTTCCATGTGTTTAATATTACTAATCCAAGAGAGGTGTTTTATGGACAACAACCGATAAGTCAAATGCATGGTCCTTGGACGTTTAATGAAGAAAGAGATACAGAGACTGTTGAGGTATCTAGAGCAACAGATGTTTTTAATGAAACAGGAGAACTATTCTCGTACGATGAAGCAGTCAAGTTCTATCATACTCGTAGTCCTCAAGGTATGTCTGATGAAATGTCTGAGACCTTCAGCGTTTACAATCCTGATACTTTTACAATGCAATACAGTCACAGAGTGGAAGATGATTGGCTTAGAGCCATTAGATCTTTGAGTGGTATGATAAACTATACCTCAACTCAATTCAGAGATACTCTGATTTTGCAATATATGAGGAAACACTATTTCCCAGATCATTACTCCAGCAAACAGGTTTTTACAGATACTAGGCTGGTGGCATTTGTAAATCACCCTAGAGTTCCCAGAGCGACAATTGACAGCTTATGGTCGGATGAGATTTTCGGATTTTCCAACTTTGAAAATGCGAAGTTCTGGGGAGATATCTGAGAACAACGACTTAGGTTTGGAAAAACATTTATTAAAGATTATTTCTTCCTTCCTACTGATGGGCTTGCCAGCTTCATGGAACTCTTCTGTCGAGATTGGAATTCAGCTGCACATGCAGTTGAAGCTGCCTTTAGAATGAGAGGAATCATCTCACCAGAGATAATGTTCTATCGCCAATGGTCCAACAGAGGAGCTACTGATAGAATTTATAAAAGGCCATTGTCTATTTCTGACGTAGATCCTCTAGTTCCAGGATATGTCGATCTCCCAGGCTTTTTAGAAGATGTTTTCTTTACTAATATGGGTATTAGAGGGCAATTCGAGGATGTCCACTTTGCTGGGAGCGTCTCCTTAGAAACTAGACTTTTAAAATTATTTACTCAGGAGGATCTTCGAGTCTCACTTTTCAACGCTACCAATATGAAAACATTATTTGAGCTCTCAGCTCTTGTCAATGTAGATAATTTTACAGGACAGTATGAAGTGTTTAGACTACAACCACTAGTAGATGAGATGAATGGCCAAGTATCCACAAAGGAGCTTTTTGTAGTGTATTCATTTCTGAGAAACTTAATAGAGAACACTTTCTTGCAGTCAAATACTCCTCAGAATAGTACTTTCGATAAAACTATGATGGCGTTTACCCTAACAGATGTTATCAAGAATGAGTTCACAAGATTTAGAGCTAACTTTACCAGTCGAATGATTGCTGCTGGAGCTATCAGATTCCTTCAACTTGACGATTGTAGAACCTCTTTTGTTCGACTATTCCCAAGAGAAAGAGCCTCAACATTTTGTAACATTCCTAAATTTGATATTACCACTATGGAAGGGGCAAGGTTTTGGTGGAGACTTTACATCGGAAGGAGACCTCAAGACATAGCTCTTTTGGAAAGTGAAACACCTGCTACTTTAGCAGACTTTGAGAAATACTTTGATGATGACTACAGTGATTTTACCCTCTTTACACAATCAATGCTTGATGGAATAGGAATGAGATTACTCAACACAATTTGTCGAAAGGAGGGTGACCTCTGGTGATCTATCCAAGAGATTTCATTCCATCAGATGATGTCAGGAATTATAACACTAAATCCTCCACCAATCCTGCGAGGAATGGTTGCTGCTGATAACTTCGTGACTTTCTTTGGGTTGGAGGACACCCAACTGATCTCACCTGAATTTAATTTCCTTGGAAAATTCCAAGATTTTGAACTTGACCCAGAAGTAGACGTAACCTATAGACACGTAATTCAAGGAATGAGAGACTCTAGGCTTTTTAACCCCTTCTTTATCTTAAAGATCTTGAACGATCAATGCTCAGAAGTTGAAAGATTTTGTACTGAAAATTTCAGAATTTGGTTAACCTTCCTGTACAGAAACAGAGGGCTACCACCTCTCATTAGAAGATTGACAGTAAAAGAGATTCTGAATGGGACTTATAGTCCTCATCTGTTTGATATACAAAGGAAGAATCCTCAGTATGGAGGAGATCCCACTATCAGAACTGACTTTAACGTGCTTCCTCACAATGGTGTTCCAGAAACAACATTAAGAATGAATGTGTTCTCTGGAGATGTCAATCCAGACAGAGCAAGGAACCTTTTAAAATTCGACAGTGAAAAGGAGTATATTACAGCAGAGCGCACTTTCTACCACGTTGATAGAAATCCTCTGCGCACTGGGGTTAAGGAGTTTGAAATAAATCCCTGGACACAAGAAGTTTGGTTCGCTGGAGGTACAGATGGATTCCAGTTTAATCCTGATATGACCAGAAGGGACGACCTAATCTTCTATGCTGATTACTTCAAAGCCATGATTAAGGTTGATTTCCAGAGCGTAATCAATGCTTTTGGCTTAAAGGCATTTATTTTTGAAACTCCAATATCTATCTACCAAAGAATCACTGAAGGAGAAATAGGAGGAATTACTCTTGACGGTCAAAACCCTTATCATAACTTCCATTTCTATGATATGTTCAATGCTTCTGCAGTCTTTAGGTCTTCATACTTTGTCACAGAGCCCATGTTCAGTAGATTAGGAGGAGCTAATGTCAGAGAAATTAGTTCAGAGATCATCGACAGGAATGGAGATTCAATCACTGGCCAAGTTCATTGGAATGATCGAATCCTCTGTGAGCCATGGTCTGGATTGATCATCAGAGGAGATACTGGATTCCAGATGAATTTCTTCTACGATAGCTACACTCCAGAAGAATACCATCAGTACTTAATGCCTTATGTACTTTATAACAAAAGACTAGATATTGATGGAGCCTTGGCAAGAGATTTATTCCATGATATCACTATTATTGATGAAAGAATGAGACTAGTGTTCATCCTCTCAATGATCATTGGAGGTATTCTTGCCTCATCAGGAGGTTCTCTCCTTGCACTTACAATCTTCAGAAATCGTCAGAGGTCAAAGATATTGAAGGAAATTAGAGAGGAAGAAAGTGAGAGAAAGAGGCTTAAAATGCAAAATAGAATGAACGGTAACCAATCCAGAGATACAGGAGCTGATACTAGAATTAATGGGTCTCTGTTGCAAGAGTAATTTGATCTTAACACATTGCCGTACAAGTATCTCCAAATATAATATTCAATAATTTCTCTCCTGGAAGGGGTTTTGGGGTTTTGGGGTTTTGGGGTTTTGGGG